GTCACACACACACACACACACACACACACACACACACACACGCGCGCGCGCGCGCGCGCTCTCTCTCTCTCTCTCTCTAACCTTTCTGAAGTCGTCGACAGCTGTCATCTTGTCGCGTTCGCCCTGCGCCGCACGAAACCGCTTCACGTGCCGCCCCAGCGCCTCCGCCGGTGTCTCCTTTCGGCTCAGCCGCTGCAGCCGCAGCTGTCGCATACACACAAGGCGTGCGCAGATGCGCAGATGCGTGTTGAGGGTGTGTGTGTGTGTGCAAGACGAGGAATGGGTTGGAGCGTGAGGTGTTGTGGAAAAAGCATGCCTTTCCTCACACACACACACACACACACACTCAACGCGCGCGTCACCTTTGTGTCGCTGAGAGTCTGGCGCATGCGCCTGCTGCCGGGAAAGCGTCGAATCGAGCGCGAGAGGCGCGATCCAAACCGTCGCAGACTCCCACTCCGCTCCTGTACAGCAGGTGTGGATGATGTGCGTGGTGGGCGCGATGGTCAGTCATGTGAAGGATACCAAGTACCAAGCACACAAACACACACACACAACATACCCAGTCACACAGACACAGACAGACAGACAGACAGACAGACAGACAGACAGACAGACAGACACACAGCCATGATGGTACCGTACCCTGTGGGCGCCAGAGCCAGTGCTGCTGTCGCTGCTGCTGCGCTTCCCGCGTCGCGTGCCTTCAGACATGGAGTTGGCTCTGCGCTGACACGTTCGCTCCCGCACACGCATGGCCGCACGCGACCCGAGCGATGCACTCCGCTCAAACCCGCGCACATGCAATCGCTCCTCCTCCTTTCTCTTCTTCGCACGCCGCGCTGCCAGGGCGGACGATAATTCCGCTCGCGCTGCAGCCTGCTTCCTCTCTTGCTCGCCCACCGCGGGAAGGCGGTCGTCTGCCGCGTCACTCCCTGCCACTTCTTGCTGTTGCTGTTGCTGCTGTCCGGGTTGAGGCTTTGTTGTGGCTCCTGCACGCCCGACTCCATTCTCCAGCGCCGCAGCATGGTGCACTGCTGCTGCTGCTGCTGTCGCTGCTGTTGCTTTTGGCTCTGGTGCCTGTCCTCTCTCCTCTGCCTCCTCTGATTTGGCCCTGGTTTGGTCCTCCTTCGCGAGGCGGACGCCCTGTCCACTCTCCCCCTTTGGCGTCTTCTGCCGTCTATGCTGCTTCTGCTGCCGCGTTGGCAACCCACCACCACCCGTGCGCTCATCAACCCCATTCTCCCGTGTACCCACTCGCTCACCGACACCGCCTTTGCCAGCCCGCTCCTGTTTCTGCTGCTGCTGCTGCTGTAGTGTGTGCACGTGCTCGTGCGTGGGTGGCGGGAGGTGTGTTGTTGCTGCGCGCGGCTCACCCCACGTCTCATCGTCGCTCCTCGGGCCGCTGTATTGACGCGGGGACGCAGCCGACGAGCGCTGCCTTCCACCACCACCACCATTACCACTACCACCACCATCATCGTCATCGTCATCGTCATTGTGATGAATGTCGCGATCATGGCGCTGGTGAGGATGATGGCGCGTGTCGTGGCAGTGGCGGTGATCAAGGTCGTGCTGTTGGTCGTGCGGCACGAGCGGGCTGTGTCGTCGGCGCGGGGAAAACGCGCTGCGGGCAGCATCGTCCTCGTCCAGGTGCTGATGGTGTTCACGTTCATGCTGTTGTGGATGGTGGTGGTGGTGAGGCAGGCGCAGCGGTGCAGGCGATGCACCCTCCGCCCTTTCTTCCTCTTCTGCCTCTTCTTCCTCGTTCTCGGGCTCCTCGGGCAAGTCCTCCATCATGTCCTCCTCAAACGAGTTGTCATGGTGCGGCAACGACAACGCTTCCTTGTACAGATCCATGCGTGGCTCCGGCACGCGCCGCCCCCACATCTGCACGCGCTCGTCGGGCTCATATTGCCCTGTGCAGTCACGGACGTGGAGAAGAGGGGGGGGGGGTTGGTGGTGGTGGTGGTGGTGGTGGTGGGCAGGCGTTAGTGGATGTATGTGTGTGTGTGTTGTTGTGTATGTGTGAGTGAGTGAGTGTGTGCGTGTGTGTGAGGGAGAGAGAGAGAGAGAGAGAGAGAGAGAGAGAGAGAGAGAGAGAGAGAGAGAGAGAGAGAGAGAGAGAGAGAGAGAGAGAGAGAGTGTGTGTGTGTGTGTGTGTGTGTATGTGTGTGTGGATGAGTGGCGATTTGAAGGGACAAGCGCCTCAGTGCGCCGCCGTCCACAAGTGGCGTTCGTGCATGTGCATGCGTGTGTACATGTGTACATGTGCAGCTGCCTGAACAAGCGCGCACCTTCGCCGGAGCTGATGTACCAGAGCGGCGGTCCCATCATGGCGACGTGTGTTGGATTCAGCACGTCCCCGAGCGTGTACGCCACAACATCCAGGCTGCATGCAGGTACACAAGGTGCAAGGAGTGAGTTAGTGAGAGAGGGGAGCGAGGGGAGAGAGTGAGTGAGTGAGAGATTGAGTGAGTGGGTGAGTGACTGGGTGAGC